ACTCAGGATGATAGGAGTACTAAGGAATTTCCCATGCACAATGTAGTATTTATAATTTGTTTTCTGTTTCATCTTTTTCATAGATGGACGTCATGGTCTTATAATAAACATATTGATTGTAGTCAGTAGACAGTGGATTTACAGGTGAGAGTGAAGAGCATAAATTGAAGGGATACCGTATATCTTTTAAACACGGAGCGAGCCTATAAAAGGAAAGGACACGCCCGTCTGAAGCACTTTGTTGGCTATTTTTATCATTAATGGCATGTGGGGAAAGCTGAAACGTCGCACAACAACGGTCGAGAAAAGTTGGGGTTGGTTTATCCAAACAACTAATTGATTTATGTCAAACACAACAAGCTATAATAATAAATATTGAGCGCAAAACAAATATATCTATTCACTGTTTGGAGGAACTGAATGCAAACAATGAATTCCCTTCGCCCATTTCGACATGTACAGTACAGTCCAAATTTTGCGGCTAGCTAAAATTGCCACAAAGCTCAAGCCTGCGACCAAAGAGCCACCTGTTTCCATTTATCTGAGTTTGTAGAGAACTTGAACGAGTCTCGTGAAGATGACTTTGACGGGATTTGCTAAATTATTCAGAATTACAAGCTTTGTGATTGTGCAAACAACTTGGACAATACTGAATAATTGCACATAATTAGACCTGGGTGAATTAACCAATCAAATGAGACCATTGTGATTGGCAGGCTGAACTCCACAGCCTCGACTGATAGGCTCGCTCAGTGTTTAAACGCATGCAATTTTATTATCTCATTAACAGTATTGATTAAAATTTGGGTGTATGTTAAACCAAGAACAGCGACCCTGGTCAACACCCCCAGAACACCCAGGAACACCAAACATAAAAAGGTAAAGTCTTCATGAGCGTAGTGACCCACAACTGCCGGAGCCGGAGCCTTAATCCCAGTTTCTGTAGCATGAAGCAACTAGGAGTATTCCTTAACCCCCTTGGTTGGGATGATAGTCCATCGCAAGTTAGTCCACCCTGGAGCATTTTGTCGCCGGTACTCATTTATACTCCTAGGTGGAGAGATGCACTGAGAGTAAAGTATCTTTCCCAGGAACACAACACATTGACCCCAGCCAGGGCTCAAACCCAGACCACTCAGACCTGAGTCCAGCATGCTAACCATTACTCCATTAGGCCACCGCATCTTCCGCCACCCAAAATATACTAAATGCAAATTTCAGACCACTGACCATGTTCCATTTCCCCTTTTGGACCACTTCAGCCATATGATATCTTATTTATTTTCATTTCCTTTTTTCATATTTTTAATTTTCTTCGTATTTGTAATTTTTTGGGTGTTTTCAGAGTGTTCTGGGGTGTTTCGGGAGTCTTTTTGGTTTTACATACACCCATAAAATTCACTTTGAAGTCTTCAGAGCTATATTCATCATTTAGGGGAGTGTACTGTAAAGTTATTATATATTATTAATTATATAAGCTGTACGTGGGCTAAATATCTGTTATTTGTTCAAAAGGTTTTTTTTTGGTGGGCTTCTTTTGGGGGGAAGGGAGTTGCGTCTCAAATCTTTTTAGGTGTATATGAAAGAATAATTAAAGCATAGTAAATAGATATCTATTTAAAAGTTGAAAATCCCTTTCATTAATTATCCTTGATCTAGAGCATAATAATTAATTATATGTTCTCTTCTGAGGTGGGTTAATACTGGGTACCAGTATACTGGTCTACCACTTAAGCCCTCTCTCCTCCAGCTGACCTGATGGTTAATTACATTCTCTGCTTTGTTTTCTCTTCAGATTTGTACTTCAAAACCATTGTAATATCAGGCAGCACTTGTGATGTCAGGAGAATAAATTAAATTGATATTGGTTTGAAATAATTTATAATCTATATAATAATTATATAAAATTGTTTGTTTTACTAATTCAGAGGGTGACACTTGATTGATGGTGTTGCAGTTAATCATGACACTAAAAAAAATTGTGGCCAGAAAAAAAAGGACCAAATAAATATTTGAAGAAAGATTTTTGAAATGTGGTGGTTGTCTGCTGTATTTAGATTTCATTGAATCTGATCCTAAACAGTGTGATTTTAATATTGAATGTTTAAAATGTTAGCACATGCTGTTAGTGTATTTTGCCCCTTTAATAAATATACATGTACATGCATGTGTAATTGAGCATGGTATGAAAAGTCAAGCCTTTGTTGGAAAATACATATACTTTTGGTCTGATTCACACCAGTCTGACTCTTATGTCAATTCATGGCCTGTTAAAATTCAGATCATTTCAAATTTATTTTTCAAATCATGTACATATTTAATTAATTTTGGTTTAAATTTATTTTTGATTGATATTTATTTCCTTTCGTCTTTATTTTGTTTTAGAGCATGGTACTTAACGACAGTGCTAGCTAATGACATCAAATTCAAGAGAAAGGAAAACAAAAAAATTTGTAATGTAAAAAATACATATTAGTCACAACATGATAATTTAACAGTGTCGGGTTACTGTTCCTTCTAATACTGCTACCATATTTTCAGAGTTTAACATTTGAGTGACTTTCACTGGTGTTCTTTAGTGTATTTTTTGTTCCAGGAATTTTTGACATCACCATAATTCATATTCACTGATACTGAATAATATTAGGCACATGTAAGTTTCCGAGTAGCTTCATGTGAACCATTGGTTCATTGATATAAACTGTACATGTAAGCTCTCATTTACCTTCATATGAGGCTTTTGAATCCACTATTCTGAGCTATTTACATATTGCTCTGACTATGAATTTTACAAATTGCCTTACTGGGGTTTTTGATATGCACAATTTAAACTCAGGGTTGTTGTCTGAGGGTGCATTTGTTGGTTTGTGCTATACAAAGAACACTGTCAATTGGTCTTGTATCTATGATAATACATATATCTTATTATTAACCAAGCGCGAGAGCCATACTGGGAGAATCTTGACAGTACAGATCGAGTGCAAGTAGGTCCATACAGAAAAGACTGAGGGCCGATATTTTACTAACAAATTTACATGATTTTCGCAATTTCTAAACCCCACTAAAACTAAAATTAAGGGCAGTAGGTGGTATCATATTTACCATTTTTCCATTATGACAATTAAATTATATATTGCTTTTATTCCGGTTCCACTTGTAATAATTATAATAATAGTAATGATAATAATAAAAATAACTCCAGCACGCCTTGTGTGCCTATGTTTATATTTGGTGGCTCCTAAAATACCGGTAGCCCTTTTTGTTTTTCACATGCAGAGTGCAATGTCATTCTCAATGAGGTCGACCTGCAGGAATTTTGCGCTGCCTTGCTGAGGGTTCATTGTTCCGAGGAAGCCCGCGTCCTGGAACAACAGCTTGTTGTGGTCTAGATCGTAGTAGAACCACGTATGTCTTTTTGTGTCGGCGTTGTTTATGATGAAGTCAATTTGCCGGGCTCTCTTTCCTGCAGTGGCCGGTGCTGCCCAAAACTGCGACAACATTATCCATCTGCCTATCGAATAAGGCTGGGGAACATCCGTTTCCCAACATGAACAACACAAACTTGAAGGTGTCGTTGTCGCTGATAGGTTTTTTCCAAAAGAGCATCCGCATGTCTTTAGGCCACCATTGTAATGGATAGAACGTGTCTAGCCTTTCGTGGACGACCTCCGATTTTGCCAAATAGCGCATCGTTTCTGGTGTTCAGCGAAAAGCGTAATGCTTACATAGCAGTGCAAGTAGGTTGCTATGGATATTTTCTCTAGTCGTACGACTCGTACAAGTTAACAAGGCCCCTTGCTTCTCTAATGAGATGCAATTTCACCAGTTGTACGAGTCGTACGACTCGTATGGTTGACTAGGCCCCTTCCTTCTATAATGAGATGCAATTTCACCAGTTGTAAGAGTCGTACGACTCGTACGAGTTGACAAGGCCCCTTCCTTCTATAATGAGATGCATATTCACCAGTTGTACGAGTGGTACGGCTCGTACGAGTTTACAAGTCCCCTTCCTTCTATAATGAGATACAACTTCACCAATTCTACGAGTCGTACGAGTCGTACGAGTTGACAAGGCCCCTTCCTTCTATAATGAGATGCATATTCACCAGTTGTACGAGTGGTACGGCTCGTACGAGTTTACATGGCCCCTTCCTTCTATAATGAGATACAACTTCACCAATTCTACGAGTCGTACGACTCGTACGAGTTGACTAGGCCCCTTCCTTCTATAATGAGATGCAATTTCACCAGTTGTACGAGTCGTACGAGTTTACATGGCCCCTTTCTTCTATAATGAGATACAACTTCACCAGTTGTAAGTGTCTATAATACTTCATTTCATTTCACTGAAACGTATCACAGTCACCACTTGAACCACATTCACCACTTGTATGACTCGTACGAGTTGAATATCACCTTTCACGACTTTCACGACTTGAACAAGTGGTGAGTATTGGACAACCCTCACCTCCCGAAAAGCTTTGAATTTTGTTGAAATTCATTTGCATTACTTTTAATCAACCATATAGACATGCACCAATTTTAAGCAAACTATGATTATATTAAATTACTGTAAAGCACCTTTTAAGTTAATTTAATATGTATTAAAATACATACATGTATACCAATTTACTATTAAAATTAATTAATATGAAAAAACAACTTTAGAACAACTGTCATACCAGGGCTGGGGTTTTCACATGCCTTTTCTACTGAAGAACCAACACAGTCTGACAGAAATGTCACTTCCCTGGAAACACACAACAATTTATTAACAAATACGTTTTTACAATATATAAAGCCGCACTCGGGCCAAACTGGCCCACACTGCCAGGGCTTATCCTGGTTTTTGTAGCATGAAGCCGACTAGGAGAATTTCTTCTTCCCCTGAATGGGATGCTAGTCCATTGCAGGTTACCCCCCAGCATTTTGTTACTGGTACCCATTTATACAGTCTCCTGGGTGGAGAGAGGCTATGTGTCTTGCCCAAGAACACAACACAATGACCCTGGTCAGGGCTTAAACCCAGACCACTCGATCCAGAGTCCAATGCGCTAACCATTAGCCAGGCCACCGCACCTCGCATATATAGCTCTCATTAAATGTTTCTGACATACATGTATATGTGAATTGTAAATGTACATGTGTTGGGTGTTGGCTTTTCTGAGAATGCTAGATGTTAAAATATTAGCAAGTTATATCTTATTTTTCCATACAATGAGACTGATGCCTTGGCATGGCTGAGTGGCTTGCATGTCCCAATGACTCTGAGAGCTATGCAGGCAGGGGTTTGTACTCCTGGCAGGGCCTCCCATGCCGGAAAGGTCAAAGAGTAGGGTCCAGACTTTTAAGTAGGGTCCAGACTAAAGTCAGTCTCCCAGTCCTCCAGGTGTGGGAGTTGGGCTTGAGGCTAACAACCTCATCCCGTAAAAAACAACATTAATTTTGTTACGGAAACAGCAACGAGGACAGCCAGTACCCTGCATGAAGGCCTTCCAAGGTCTTCAAACCGCATGACTGTCAGCAGTGAAAGCTGTACAGAAGCTGCTAGCATGAAGTTGGAAGTGCTGAATGCAAAAACCAAAACCAGGCTTGGATTCTGGAACGTACGCACTATGATTGAAACTGGAAGACTTGCCCAAGTTACAGCAGAGATGAGATGATACAAACTACATGTGTTAGGTGTACATGTAAGTGAAAGCAGATGGACAGGGTCAGGATGATTAAAGACCGTTTCGGGTGAGACCGTACTGTATTCTGGGCACGATGATGGTCAACATCATCAAGGCATGGCAATCATTCTTAAGAAAGGAGCAAACCGGTCACTCTTAGAATGGAAGCCTATCAATAGTCGCCTCATCATGGCCAGGTTATGCTCCAACCAATGACAGCGAAGAAGATGCAAAAAAACAATTTCTATCTCAGGCTCCAATCTGAGATTGAGAGGATCCCAATGCAAGATCTTACCATCATCATGGGAGACTTCAATGCCAAGGCTGGTGCTGATAACTCAGGCAATAACAGGGTAATGGGAATGAATGAATGAGAATGAGGAAAGGCTTGTTGATCTGTGTAGGGACAAAAATCAGATTGATCACCTGTTGATCAACAGCAAATGGTGAAGGTCTCTTCAAGATGTCAATACCTGTGAGAAGAGTGCCTGATGTAAGTAGCGACCACCATCTTGTGATAGCCTGTTAATGTCTATGTCGCAAATGAAGGTTGGGTGCCCAGGAACCTGGGGGCTGGTACCGCCAACCCAAACCCAGGTCAGTAGAACAACCCATAAGCCTGTCCTACCTGCAACCCAGCCCCAGCCCTGGCACCTGTCACACTGAACCTAAAAGTTCAGTGGAAAACTACGAGGTAAATATCATATAAAACTTACAAGGATAACAACTAAAGCTAAAGGGGAGGAGGGAGGGAAACACTAAAAATGCGAGCTACAAAAACGCCCTATATGCTGAGCAGAGTAAAATTACAGGCACATGTGAAGGCGCACGCATAAACCGCACCGGAATACCGCTAACCATGCACTGGTCCGAAGGCCCTGAAAACTGGCCCAAAAACAGTAACGCAACACCCGCAACTCAAGAGTGCAGGCCTCCCAACCCTGTAAACGCTGTTGCTTTGATGTAGATCAACTAAAGGACCCTACTGTGAGGAAATCATTCATCCTGGAGGTGCACAACAGATTTCAGGCCCTTATGGATCTTGATGAGGAGGAAGATAGCAGAGATGAGGAGACCAACAGGAACTGGGGGAACATTGTTATTGCTTATCTAGTGAGAGTTGCAAAGCGTGCTTGGGCCATCGGCAGCGGAAGCCCAAGGAGTGGATGTCACCAGCTACATGTACCTGGAAAGTTATTGAAAGCAGAAGGACATTAAAAAGTAAAGTCCAGGACACCAAGTCCCAATGGCTCAAAGAAAGGAAAGGTACCAAGAGCTGAACAGAACAACAAACAAGGAAGTCAAAAGTCGGCAAGAGTGGACAAATGGAAGTACATGGACGACCTAACATCCCGGCACAGGAAGCGGCAAAACGCAATGAACAAGGAACTGTGTATAAGATCACCAAGCTCATCACAGGAAAATGCCACACAACCAATGTGCTTTGTAAAGGCCAAAAATGGCACCGTGTTAGGAGCACTTCAGAGAAGTTCTAAACAGACCACCTCCAATGGTGACAGCAGACATCCAGGAAGCTTCAGCAGACCTTGATGCGAGCACTCAGATGTTCCATCTAGGAGGGAAATCATCCAAGCCATCAAGTCCGTAAAGAACGGGAAAGCTCCTGGCAATGACAACTTAAAAAAAACAGACGCAGAGCTTGTTGCGGATATACTAACGCCCTTGTTCACAAGGATTTGGGAGCAGGAAGAGATACCATCTGATTGGACTAAAGGGGTCTCTCAGCGATTGCAATAATTGGCGAGGAATTACTCTTTTGTCTGTGCCTAGTAAAATCTGTTGCAAGATCATCATCCAGCGTATCACAAAAGCTGTTGATGACGTCCTGCGGAATGAACAAGCTGTATTTCGAAAAGGACGTGGATGTACAGACCAAATCTTTACCCTTCGGAATATTGTCAAGCAGTGTTCTGAATGGCAAAGGGAATTATTCGTCAATTTCACAGACTTTGAGAAAGCTTTCAATAGCATTCATTGAGATAGTCTATGGCAGATTTTGAGAGCATATGGTGTCTCACTGCACATTGTTAATATTATTGAAGACTGGGCTGCATCAGGGGTGTGTCATGTCGTCTGTCCTGTTCAATGTTGTCATTGACTGGGTTCTTCATCGTAGAACAGAAGATCTATGGAGAGGAATCCAATGGACATCCTTTTCAACACTCGAGGGCCTTGACTTTGCAGATGATTTGGCTTTATTGACACACACCCGACACCACATCCAGGAGAAGACAGTTCGACTCAACAGATTCAGCAAGCAAGTTGGTCTGACAATCAGCTTAAAAAAGAAAACCAAAGCTATGTGTGTGAATGTCTCTTCACCAGCAAAGATCAAGGTTGGAGAGAAAGAGCTTGCCTACACCGACACGTAACCTTGGAAGTGTGATATGCCACGATGGTGGCACCAGCAGTGACATAAAGAACAGGCTGAATAAAGCAAGCTGATTGGCTGGCGGGTTGACCGCATGTGCACAATTGAACGTAATTGGGCGCTAAGAATAGGTGTGATTAAAGGGGAAGTATCATCATGGTGATTTTGACCTTTTTTGGTCAAAACTGTGTTTCAGTACCTTTTCTTATTTACAAAATAATTCTAGAACACCAAGGAAAATAAATCAACCAAATTCTTGAAAGAGGAACAAATTATGGTCTGTTCTAGTGCATTTTGGAAACAAAAATGCAACAACTTGAAAAAAATTAGCCTAACAGTTTTCAAGTTGCAATCCATTCCGACCCAGTTGCTATGGCCAGAGACACTTACTGACAGTTTTACACTAGGATGGTAATTTATAACAAAATTTGACCATTATTTTTAATAGGTTTCTGTTACTACAAAAATATTTTTTGGTTTTTGAAATGACATCAAATCCCCGTGATACTTCCCCTTTAAGGAGCGTGCGTTTACGGCCAAAAGATGCTTAGAAAAAACATTAGCAAACACGGTAGCAGCTCTGGTAGATTTTAAGCTTGGTACTTGTATTGTAGTAATTGCTGACCTCCATATAGGTTGTGATCCAGTTTACATGCTTATGCAGAAACAGCGATATATATATAAAATAGTTGCAGGAGACTTTGTTGGACAAGATAACACATCTCCCACAAAGAAGTAACAATGGTTGAACATACAGAAACACAAAAAATGATGGCCAGTGTGTTTTGTTGGATTTCAATACTAGACATAAGTAAAGTTTCATTATTTAATACCTTTCTAACAGTTTCTTCAGTTCATCAGCAACAGGAGCCAGGGAATATTTTTCCACTACTTTTCCATCAGGACGTCCCAAGTGACTCATCAACACCACACTCTTGGCTTCATGATCCAAGCAGTATCGAATACTTGGCAGGGCAGCAACAATTCTTTAAAAACAACAATAATAATTGACACTTCCCATGGAACAGCAAATTAAATTACATGTACATGTACTTGGGGGGGGGGGGGACTCCCATATAAAAGTGACGGGTGCTAGTCGGAATTTTTGAAAAGAACCCCTAAAAGGTACCAAAATTTTGTTTTGTGGGCGTGGCTCAAATTAATTTTCACCCCTAAGAGGTACCAACTCTTAAGGTCACGCAGGACCCTTGATCATGAATAAATTCATAAGTCAAATTTCAGTGGTAGGTTTTATCTTCTAAAGCTTGAAATCTCTGCATTTTGAAAGTCGATTCCGCTGAGACTTAATGGGGATATTGGTGGATGATAGAATTACATCATGCTTCTCGTTTTTCTGGTAGATCACAATTTACGGTCGATATTTTAAGGTACTAAATTTAGAAATGTGGAAAATCAATTTTTGTGTCCAAGCTTTCAGCTTGGGAAGCGATCTAAACTTAATGATTGTATTACCCAGTGGTGCATCATAACTTCTTTTGTGATGTGACAGAAGCAGATTTTGCAATTTCAAGACTCGTTGAAAGTTATTGCCTTCCAAAGGAGTAAAGTTTTGAAAATTAGACTTTGAAACATTCTATCTTCTTTTTGAAAGGCTTTTTTGCAATTCCGCTTCTGTCACATCACAATACAGTACACTAAGTTTACCTTCCTCGTGTATCAATTCCTGAAATTCTATATCCGCGACAAAAGCTTGGACACAAAATTGCCGGTTTTGCCCCTTCCGAAGACTAACCAAGTCAACAAAGTGTATGACAACAAAAGTTGTGAATCTAATTATGATAATTCGGGACATTGAATTGCATGTGCTGCAAAACTAAGAACAATAACTTCCTAAATTACCAATATGCCGAAAACAAAATTTTTTGAATCGATTATAATAACGTTATAAAAACACCTTCTCATGAATATTTCGCATACGATTGGCATCAGTCGTCACGGTTCGTGCAAACTCTTTATAATAAATAAATACATACATAATGAGAGCAAAGGT